AAAGACAATCTGCTCCAGAATACCTGCCCGAGCTGCATAGAGATCTGTTAATCTGTCAGTAACAGAGGCAGGTAGGAAGTAATGAAGTAAACAGGGAGCAGGCTGGAAGACAACCTCTAGCTTGTTGCCCCTAGAAATCACCTCCCGCACCCAAATATCCGCATGCTAAAGAAAACTTGTCAGAGGGTTTAGAGGCCAGAGTGTAAGGCTTGTGTTTGAACTTGGAGCTAAAGGTCATGGATAAACCAAATTTACTTTTCTTGGCCTCCAAAGAGGGACAAATCTTTCTAGACTGACCCTTAGGTTTCTGTTGCCGAGATAGAAGAGTACTCTTGCCCTGATGGCATCCTTGATAGAGGCCATTAAGGGCAGCTCTGATGAGGTATTGTCCCTCAAAGATCATGCAGAGCAAACAATTCTTGCCTGCAGGCTCCATAGCCCAACACTTTGGCTAAACAAGGAAGAGTCCTCATGTTCACTTAAACAAGATCTCTAAGGACAGATGGAGGGAGAACAATCCATCTTTGCTGTTGCTCAAGGCTGTAAACACAAGTTCCAGATGCTTTATGACCAGCGATCGACCACTATAGTGATCAAACCCTCCTGATAGCCGTGCACAGGTAATCAGGGTCTGACAGTTGAATGTCAAGGTCATGATAGGATGCAATGTAGGAACTGCCAGGGAGAACAGAGCTCTTGAAAGGGCCTCAAGCCGTTTGTAAGGATGTCTTTAACCTCTTGCCGTCCGCCCGTTGTGAACAAACAGACGGACGACGGACTCGCATGTGGGTATTGTAATTTTTTGAGGTTTCGCACATGCACGCAATTTTAAGGCTTGACATGTTTGGTGTCTTTTTACCCGACGTGACCCCCTTTTATATTTTACCCAAAAATTGGGTAATAAATGTTTTATTTAATTTAGGGGAAACAGTTTTTTGGGGGGGGGGTTTCGGTAATTTTTCCTTAATATAGTAAAAAATAAAAATCCCAGTGGTGATTAAATACCACCAAAAGAAAGCTCTATCTGTCCCCAAAAAAATTGTATAAAAACCAGTTCAGTACAGCGTTGCATGACGGAATAAACGTCGGTCAAAGTACCACAGCGCTAAATACTGAAAAATGGCCTGGATGGGAAGAGGGTTTAAGCCGACCTGTGACAATGAGCCTGTCACAGGTCGGCTCAGTAGATCGGGAGCCGACTTTCGATCCTGGTCACGGCTCTCTGCCGTGACAGGGGAGGGGCTGGATTCCCCCCTCCCCGCCAGCGCTGACTGGCGGAACGGACGGGGGTGGGTACAGCTGGCTCTGCCTTTAGATAGGCAGAGCCAGCTGTCAGTCAAGCAGCTGGGCGGAACCCGGCACAATTGTCAGGATCCGTTTCAGTTGCGGCGTCTCAGTATACCGCGAGCAGCTGCTCGCGGTATACTGCGGCGTCTCAGTATACCGCGAGCTACAGCTCGCGGTATACTGAGCCTAGGGTGACGGGAGGACGCTAGTTTATGTCCTCCCGTTACCCTAAGGAGAACTATGGGGAAAAGCCTTAACCCCATAGTTCTCCTTTAACACCGCGGACTTCAAGTGGTTAAAGATAGGTGTATCCTCCACTGGGATGGTAGATGCTTTTTTAAGCTGGGATACTGCCAGACCAAAAGAAGGAGCTTGGGAGGTACAAACATCCCATCAGAATTTTTCCAGTCTCCTTAAAAGAAGACTTAGAACAGTGGGTGCACCGGAAAGGTCTTGCCATTCTTAGGGGCCCTAAGGGAGCCTAGACTGGAGTCGGCACTGGTGGATCCCAAAGTTTTAAAGGTGGTGCCTACTGCATCAAAAAGAACCGAAATAATCTCTTTCAGTTTGGGAGTAATGGCAGAGACTCTTCAGAGACATGCTCATCCATCAAGGACTGGGGAGTATCTGTGACCTAAGGCTCAGAGGCCACAGGCAGATTATACAGAGATTTTGTAGATGATGATACGGGAAGCATGCTTATGACCTCTACGGTCAGAATCTGCAAACATTACAGTTATCTAGCCCATAAAATTCTGCATAACTGCAGTCAAATCCTCCCTGGATACAGCAGAGGAGGCAATGTCTGATGGATTTAGGAAAGACTCATAAGATGGCAGAGACTCTAGCAAAGGGCACAATTCCAGGCAGGCCATCAGTGTCAGATACTGCATGGGACACAAGGCAAGCAACACAAAAACCTTTCGTGGAGTGTGGGCTGGAGGCACCCAGAACATCAGAACTATCCCCATGTATCTTGAACGATACATGATGCACAAGGTGAAGATAATGTAGCTCCAGGTACAAGGCAAAGCCTCAGAGACCAGGGTAAGCAACAATCTTGGCTGAAGGGAGGGAGGGAGCTAGTCAAGGGAAAAAAAGCCAGCAAGAAAACGTAAGACTTTTCTCAACAGAGCTGGAAAAAAAAAAAAAGGCAACCATCCTCCTAGGATGATAGCAAAGAAAAAAAAATAAAAAGTCCGAGGCATGCAGGGGGGTAGGAGGGATTATCCTGAGCTGGCCTACAATTTATTGTTTGCCTCCAATCCTCCTGTAGGTGGCAAACCTGGTAAAACCCAACAGTACAAGTCTTCCCATGTTCCTCAATGGACAAGAAAGTAAAGTGTTTCTAAGCAGTAAGAAATTTGCACCCAAATAAACTTGGTCTGCTGTCTCCAGGCAGTGGAAACAGCTCCTACCCCCATGAAGCTATCGCCTGAATAAGTAGATAATTTTAAGAAATAGCTCTCTTATCTTACCCATCAGCATCAAGTAGTTGACTTTGTGTGTCATACTCCAAAGAGAACCGAAAATGTGAATCTGCACCAGCACTGAGATAAGAGGCTTTAGGCTCCGGTGAAGCATTGTACAGATCCTGGGAGTCTTCCACAGGTAGAGATGGTTCAGATATCTTACCAGAACTCTAGAAGACAGGTAAAATATAATTAATGGCACACTGTATAATATAATTTATCTGAGTTAAGAACAGAAAAATAAAATGTGTGACAAAAAAAATAAAATTATAATAATTGTATCTATATTACTACTTTAGTATGCAAATGCATAAAAACATGTAGCTTTAATAAAGCAGTATTTCTCTGCTTTAATAAAACAATATATTTATACATTTGCAGTGTGAAAGATAACAATGAATAACATTTTACCTTAGATGCAGAGCTGATGAAGTTTGTTTTGAAATTAACAGGAGAAGGGGAACGGAAGTCACCGATACTAGTGTGCAGGGATCCTCTGCTAGCCTTGCTAAATGGCTGATAAGAAGGGATCATAGAACCAATCAATTCAAAGCTGCTATTATGACTGCTGTCCTTTGTCAAAGGCAGGTGAAAATCATCTTCATCTGCTGTAAAGAAGGTTTAAAAAAAATTAAAGTTAAAAAGGATAAATATGTATCTCCTGCTTATGTTATTAAAGATCTATAGTTACAAGCATATCTGCAAGGTACAAGCATATTTACCTAGCTTGTCATTTTCCTTACATCCACTGTCCACATGGTCAATCTTATCAGGAATGAAGTCACTGTGTAACAGAATAAATCTGCATTATAACATTTTTAAATGTCCAAACACAGTGCTTAGCTTACAGTCTAATCCTTGAAAGAATAACAATGCAATAATACAAAATTTGTTTTTCAATATATCATAGCTTTTGTTATGTTTTTTATCTAGGTCCCCAAATAGTAAAACAGTCAGAAAGGAGACTTTTCGGCCAACACTGATATCAGTGTCAAGTTGTAATTACTGCATAAATTGGACTCTTCAAAAATTAAAGTGACTGTAAACGCAGGAGTTAAATCTTAAAAATACATTCAAGTACCATAACGTAACAAAAATTGATCTTATTTGTGTATCACTCAGCTGCCAATCCTCAAATCATCTCTGAACTGGTGCTGACATGGTCCTTCCTTCTGGAGGGTGACTACTTTTGTTGCCCATGGTCCCTGTGTGTGCTGTATAGTAATGGCCGCTCCAAGCTCACTCCTGTGATGGACTACACAATACAAATTAGTAAACTAAATGTGTGATAATAGTCCATCACAGGAGTGAGCTTGGAACAGTGGTGCCCCCCCCTGCCGGACACCCCCCCGTGCTTCCCGGGCTCTGTTGCCCCTCCTACGGGCCCGGCGTCCTTGGTGTCCGCGGGGAGGAGGTCGACGAACTTCCGTTCATCGATCCCCTCCCCGTTCTATGGGACCGGGAGCGATGCAGATTGCATCACTTCCGGTCCCAGGGCTGTCAGTTCTGGGCTCCTGCAGCCCAGCTATAAGCTATTGAAGTGCGATCTGCACTTCAATAGCTTATTTCCAGTGTAAAGGTGACACTCGGGGTCTTTTGGACCAGAAAGCATCACCTTAAAGAGTACCTGTCACCACCATCTGCTATCACATGGGGGGGCTTGTAAGCCACCCCATGAGATAGCAGTCAAAGTTTAAAAAAAAAAAAAAAAAAGTCTAATCTAATAATAATAAAAAACATTTTTAAAGTCCCCCGCGAGCACGCGCGTCGCCACGTAAACATGCGTCGGGTGCGCCTACGTATGAAAACGATGAACGCGCTACACATGTTGGGTATCGCTGCGCACGCCGGAGTGAGAGCAATCATTCTAGGGTCAGTATTTTGGGGTATCTCTAAATTAATGACCTGTGGGGGCTTTTAAATCGTCTTCTATGGACTTTTTGGGGTGCTGCAGTTATTAGTCGTTTCACGGACGGACGCAATTTGTAAACTGGGCATGTTGGGTATCGTTTTACTCGGTGTAACCTAATCTTTTATATTCATTAAAAAAATGGGTATTTTATTGTGTTCTGGGGCATTTAATTCAATTTGTCACTAAATTTTGGGGTTTAATAAGGAGTTGCGCTAATATTGCGCTACATAAAAATGTGCAACTACCACCATTTTTTTCTATAGGGTCTTAGCATTCAGAAAATATATAATGTTGGGGGATTTTAAGTAATTTTCAGGCCTAAAATGTGGAATATAACATGGGTGCAAAAAATGGAAAAAAGGCCTCAGTCATGAAGGGGTTAAGATCATTTGTATTAATGCAGTTTCCAATAGTACACTACAGTAAGAGCATCTCCAACCACAAAGGACAGTAAAACAGATATGAAAAACTGCATAAAACAGTATTAAAAACAAACTTTTTTTTAAAATGAATCCAGATCAAACAAATTCACATTGCCCAGCAAAGTATTTTTGTTACATTTTTGCTGAGACCGTAACATACAGGGGTACAGGTACTCTTAAAGCCTAAGACCACACAGGGACTCATATACACGGCATGCACTACGCACACTTGCACACAAAGGTTGAACTCTATGGACCTGTGTCTTTATTCAACCTCAAATACTATATAACTTAGTCCTCATGTTTCAGAGCAGTTGGCTTCAACTCTCGCTGCTTGACTTCCCGGAACTTTCTATCCAGTACAAGCTCACAACGGACAGTGTAAACTCCAGCAGCCCTCCATCTACTAACTTGGATTAGGGAAGAGGGAGAAGCGGGGAGCAGGGTAGTGGCTTGCCCTGCTTTTCTTGTATGTTTGTGAAGACACATTACTAGCGCACACAAGGGTTGCTCGGTAGGACCCTGCAAGGGAAAGAAGCCACCCTTGAATAGGATATCAGGGCGACCAGTTGATTCTGCAGGAAGCTAAAACTTTAAACATAAAAGTGAAGCATCCATTGTAAGAGATTTAATAGAGATTTTTTTTTTGGTCCAGGATATAGACTCAAGACCTGCTACATTCTGGACAGAGTCAGACAGGAGATGGGATAAACAGGCTTTATTGTCCGCGATCTGTAGGGTAAGGGTAGACCTCAGGCCAAGCAGACGATTCTGAGGCACAGATAACAGCATCCACTTGCACATTGATGTTCTGTAGTATTACTTGTGTGCACTCTACATAAAACTCAATTTTAAAATGAAGGCTTTTTAACTGACTGGTTTGGGAAAGCACTTTGTATCATTCTAAAGTTAAACAAAGCAAAGTAAGCAACATAAATAATGGTCTAGAGGGCAGAATTATTATTTGTTCACCCCCAAATTATACTTTTGCTTACTTGGGTAGGAAACCAACTCTGTTCCAGAGCAAATGCATTATCCTAGACAGTCCATACAAGGAATCTTCTGTCAAACAGATAGCTTTGGCAATTCATAAACCACAAGACTAAATGAACTGTATGGTGAGGATCCATAAAAAAAGTCATATCGTTATTCTCGTTCTCTGTCTAAGTGCTGGAGCACGCGGTGTTGCACTGAACAGAATGTAAATAATACATTTACAAGACCCACAAAGTATAGTTTATGCATTTCAAATTTCATTAAAGGATATCTTACTCAATCTTTGTTGAATTGTCTTTAAATAACATCAAGGAAGACTCTGTAGCCATAGGGATTCTTCTATCTGGTATACTACTGTTCTGTAATCCATCTTTAGCCTCATCTTCCTCATTTCCATCATCTTCTCCAAGGAGATCCTTTAGTGTTCATAAAGAAAAAAAAAAAGCTCAGTAAATACTCCAACATCCTTCTCTGCAATTAAGTGCCACATGTCAGAGGAAATATATACTTAAAAAATAATCTGGATTTAGTTTAGAACATAACACAGAAAATATATTAGGATACAATGGGGGGAATGTATCAAAACTGAAGCAGACATATCTGGAGCAGTTGCCCATAGTGACCAATCCGCTTCTCTCGTCAGTTTGTTAATTTAAGCTTTCAAAATAAAGGCTAGAAAATGATTAGTTGTCATGGGCAAGTGCTCCAGTTGTGATAAATTCCTCTCAATGTATATTTTTCGTAGATGATGCAGTACATATTTATTGCATATTATGGGGTACTGTTGCTCACACCAGAGTGCAAAAAAAAAAAAAATTCTAGAGCTATCATTTACAGTTATCTCTAAACTGGTAATCTGTAAAGATTTTTAAAGTGTCACTGGTGGAGAATTTATGGGCATCAATATTTTTTGCAGCTGCATGCAATTTTGATGCGACATTTCGATATGACTTCATCTTTTACATTATTCATAAACATTTGGGACTACATTCTGCATCTTTTCACTACAATTAGTAAATTTGTTTACTGAAAATATACGTCTGATAAACAATTGCACAAATATCACAATTTCAGTCTACAGGTCCTCTGCTTTTAAAAACCCGCTTTCTTAGTCTTCAGCCCAAAATGCATGTCACTTTAAGCGAGCTTGCGGAAACTAGATTAGGATTTACAATGTGTTAACACTAAGGACAACTTCTGGCTTAAACCATCCACTACTTAAAACACGTTAACTTCCCTTAATCTAAAACCAATAAGATGGGTGAAAATAGCAATAATTAAAGTATAAATAAATAGCAAATTCCTAATTTCAGTATTACCTCAGCATTGCCCTCCTTTTCAATTTCCATTTCTTCTTCCTCATTTCCATCCTTGTCATAACCCTCTTCTTCCGACTCATCTGTCATTTCCTCTTCCTCTTCCTCCTCTTCATCCATATCTTCATTGTCCAGCTTATACAGGGCCTGACGCTTTAGACGTTCTTCATCACGACGCAGCTTCATGGCCTCCTGCAATTTTGCTTTCAGCACTTGCAGCTTTTCACCTAAATATTCCAAGAGAACAAGTACTTAAAAGCAAGCTATCATTTTGGCCACACCAAACATGATATGCCATTTTATTAAATTACCTGGCTTAGCATTATTTTTTTCCTCCTGGTTTTCACTATCTATAGTGACTGGAACAACATCTATTTTCAGCTCTTCTTTACCATCCGCTGTTCTCTCTTTGCGAACAATATGAAGGTTAACCTTTTTTTCACCTGCTGCTTTCACTTTGGGCATGCTATGCTTGAGGAATCTCTCCTTCAGGGCTTCGAGTTCTGGGAGAAAAATATAAGCACAAAGAATTTAAAAGGCATTCTCCGCTCTATTCAGACAAACCTTTTGCAGTCAAGTGGCTAATAACCCTAACATAAACCTTAATTATGACTTGCACTACATGTTCTTGCTTCTGATCATTAAAAAATATGATTTCTTGATATATAAAAGCTATATGCAAAAGTATAAAAATGCTTTTGATTTTGGTCAGTGTGATATATTGCATATAAATTTAAAAAGCACACCTTCAGCCAGCACGTAGCATGTGCCAACCTGGTACCTCAGGGATTAAGATCGCTCATTTATTGTTGTGCTGAGAATACAAATCTATCAGGATCTCAGATCACACACACAACCCTAATCCAGTGGTCTGAAAGACTTTATGGAGGGACACAACCGCTCTTTCTGCAACAGTAAAGTACAGAGCTACTGCTGCCCTGTTAAAGTACAACTAAAGGCTCCTGTATAAATGTCTAAAGAAGTCCTAAATCCAATACAAAAAAAGCCGCACACTGCCAATCTTTACCCAGCGCTTCTTTTTTTGTAAAATCCAGTCAGCTCCAAACTTATGATCCCTGCCTGTTGGCTGCTAACTTCTCACATGTTTCACCCAATTGGGCTTAGTCGTAGAGCATTAGTAGACTACTCTACAACCAAGCTTAATTGAGTGAAATGCATGAGAGGTGGGCGACCTCTCCCAAACACTGCAGCTCACAACAGAAGGGTTTCAGCAGTGACAATGAGAATATCAATGCTCCCGGCAACATTTTTTTCATCACAGTGTAGTACAAGCAGGCACAGCAAACAAGAGAGTGGCAACAGTGCTCTAAATTCAGGAGCAGTGCAGCTTTTTTGCCACACCATCACCAAAAGCTGCATTAAGTGCACTTCACTGGCAGGGTCAAAAAAAGGCATTTGTGGGACTTTTGCAAGGAAACTAAGAGAAAATTGAGTGCAGATGCACATATAATTAAGTACTGCAGAAAATGTATTATGGGAGGCATAGTTTTACTTCAATAGACAGATCAATATGCTCAATACACTTTGAAAAAAAACTATATTAAAACGACATACACAATAACACTACTAAAATCGAAATTCAGCATTTGGAGGTGGCATTTTCCTTTACTATCTAATACTTATTACTTAAAGTCTGCATCAAGTATACATGTAAAAACATGGCAATGAAATGATACCGCATGTTGACAAATACCTTTATTTTGCTTTGGCTCATCTAAATTGACAAATATTCCATCATCTGGCCTGAGAAGAGGTTTAACAGATAGATCAATTCCAAGAGCACGCAGTCTTTCCACTTTTGATAATTTGGGTTTCACCTGAGTCGATAGTTCATTTGTGCAGGTATTTTCGGTGACTTTACTTTGTTCACATGTAGTACTCTCAACCTCTGGTACAGGAACATTCTGTAGAACATCATTTGTCACTTTATCAGACTCCTCATTTTCTGAACTGAAAATTGGCTGACTTGAAACATCTTTGCACACATGTTCTGTTGTATTTCCTGAATTGCAGATATCAATTGCTTTGTTTTCTGTCAGATGGAATTCTGTATTTATCTTCGGCTCAACCAATAGCTTGTCTAAAGCAGATTCTTGGGATACTTGGGGGTCCTGGAGGGGAACATCTGGTTGTGGTGTAATTTCCTCTACTGGAAAACTATTTTCAACTGGCTCGGTGGAATTCGATCCAACCTTGTCGTCTGTGCTACACGGCTGATACTTTGAGGACCTATTTAACAAAAAAAATGTTAAATATAAAATCAACCCAAATTTTCAGTAAACGTTACTGGAAATATGATCAACTCAACAAAATAACTGCTTTACATTGGTCCTACACACAAGCCTTACTTAATAAGTTGCATGGCATTCCCTTGACAAACTGGTCTTGAACGACGCTTGAAAAAGTCATGAATAGTTTTGGGTTCTGGTAAGTGGTATGGCAGAGACACAGCTGACTCTGAAAGACAATTTATAGTTCATACATAAAACATACATCTACTAGCCGAGTGTTAGAATGTCTTTTTTAAATATAGTGTGGCTCACCTCTCAAGAGTCTCTGTGTTTCACTGTGCATGTGCTTTATGGCTTCCTTGCTCATACGTGCGGCTTTTCTCTCCTACAATATAAAACACACTACTGTCAGATCCTTAAACGGCTGAGCAAATTAAAGCAGTTACTGAACAACTGCTAGTGAAGCATGCAGCTTTCCCACTAAAATACTTAAATGATTAAATCAATTTATAACAAGCACTGGATCACTCTACACAAAATAAAAGTGCTATATATGTATATAAAAAACTAATATTGGAAGCAGTCATTTCTGACTTTGTATATGTGACCTTTGCCTTCTACATGGCTACTGTATAAAATCCTAGTAAGTTCATTTGGAAAATAGACAAACCATGAAGCAGCAAACCTAAACCAGTTTGCAGTTTCTATGTAGATAGGCCCTTCAATGTAAGTAAGTGGAAGAGGGGGTAGGAATTATTGGAGAGAATTCCGACAAAAGGCGGCAGAAGAGGCGATTATAGCAATTATGAAACTTCAAATATCTATAAACCTTTTTTAAAGCTTCACACATGCAGGCATAAATACAAACCTTTTTCTTCTCAAACTTATCCGTAAAACCTTCAGACTCATCATATACTACATCTTCCTCATCAAATGACTGGGCCTTAGGAAAGAGGGGGGGGAAAAAAAAGTTGGACCACATAGCTTACACTAATATTACAGTTCAGAGATTTTAGTGCTACAAAATAAATATATACAATGACTAAAATGAACTGAATGTTTACAATACATACCTGTCCAGACTTAAATTTGTTTTTTAAGCTGGCACGAATAGCTTCTAGGGACTCCTCCTCTTCATTATCACTTTCATCCTCCTTATCAAATAAATCTCCATCTGCTAAAAGGCAACCACTGTCATTAAGCAATGGCCCTTCTTCAGGCTGCACCTGAAACAAAAGTACAAGATCAGTATGAGAAAAAAGTGCAATATAAAAACTTCTGGTCTCATATCACTCACTTAAGAACCTAACCTATTATTGTACACATTAACAGCAAAATTACAGGTTCTTTGTAGAGTTCAAAATTAACTATCACTAGAATAGACATGAATAGACAACTTACAACCTTCTGCAGAGATTTGTGTGCCCAAGCCATTTCACAACAAATCCAATGTTTTACTTAAGGTAGAAGGAAAGGCTTACTAACAAAACAACAAAATAAATCTTCCCTCCTGTCTTCTCCCAAGGGCCCTGCTACCATTAAATTACAAATGGCGGTGTAAATACCTTTTTTAGCCATTTTCCCCATTCAGTCATATAACTGCAAATCTCCGATTTCTCTCCTTCTGGTGCAGCTGATGGAGTCTCTCCCCCTCTAACAATATCTGGAGCAGTGGACGCCGATGGACAAAGCCACCAAATTGCAGGGAGGAGCAGGAAATTTGCAATCAAATGACCGTATGGAAAACAAAGCTAAGATCAAAAAGTTATTCACACTGCAATTTGTTTAAAACTATGCAGGGCCACGGAGGAATATTGAATTCACTTTTGCTTCTACATTAAACAAGCAAAAAATAAAACATTTTGCATTCTTATAGGCACCTTTACATTCTAAGCTATTGATTCTTTGAATTGTTACAGACAAACAGCAAATGACCTCACGTTAGTCATAAAGAGACCATACACAACAAGAAGCACAAAGTGGCGCATTCCTAGTTCTCATGGCATGGGGCAACGTGTCACAATTTTAAAAAAGCACTCCAGGAGTTTGTTTTGTCTTACTAATCAGCGGCTTCTTATACCGGTCCTTCAAACCTCTCTTCTCCTCCTCTGCTGCGGTGTAAGGTCTCATAAATCATTACGTCTATACACACAGTATAGATGTGAGGAGGCCGAAGAAGATTCCAATGCAGCGAGGGAGGAGATAGGCTGGAGAGAGCGCTGTGACAGCTGGCCAGCTTGGAGCTTCAGGCGAGTATAACTGTTATTTTAGCACCTAAACACAAATGAGCACTTAACCTTTGAAGTGCAGGGGTAGCCCCACTGCAAGGGTTAATAAAAATATCCCAGGAGTTCTGCTTTAAGATGCCTCTCAGCTTTTACTAAGTCAGATACTTCCCTTTACGTGGATGTATCTGTCCCTTAAAGGGAGATTGCACAGCAGCAACTGTAATGTCATCAAATTAGGTTGTAATAGTGGACTAAGGAACATGCTTACAAAACATTCTGAATCTCCTCACCAGCACACACTATTAATTTGTTAATTATAGGCACAGCTTGAACAATCGAAGCAGGGAAAGCACAGAATTGGTTTCGATAAGAGATTGATTTTATTTTTGCAAATTCCTTCATTTGGTCTATTTTAATTCTACTGCTACTTTCATAACAATATTCTTGGCCAACGAATTGTCTCAATAAAAGATGAACTCTTGTTTTCCAGATTCAAAGGAGGCATCATTTTTCATCAATGACACATGCACATGGTTTCTGGCACAGGTCACTTAAAATGCGTAAGGCTAGAAACCATGAAATAAAGCATGAAATGTATTGGACTGCCTAGGGTAGTGAGGTAGATCATTTTCTTAAGCACCTGCTACCGGAGAGATGGATGCAGCCTTTTGCTTACTGTGAATGAAAGCTGCCTATAGTCAAGGTCACCCCAGCAGTCCTTTGCCACCTAAGCTACTACCAGTAAAACTTCTCACAGTTGAACAATCATCCCTACTAAGTGAATGGGAAATACAAGAGATTAATAGTACAGATCAGTTTTTAACCTCTCTTGCTTTCTTTCTTCTGGAAAGAGAATACTGTAAATGCAGCATGGTAATGCTTACATAGGTTTACAAATTAAAAAGGAACTCAAACTGCACATTTTGCTATGACAAAGAATCCATCAAACAGATGAATTGCTTATAAAACCAATTCAACTTGAGGTGCCCCATTAAGTTAAAAAATATGCTGGACAAAACCCAACCAAACTATAATACTACATCAACACTGCTTCTGGTGCCTTACATATTTTTAAATTAAAGTGAGTTGGTGCATACTGGTCTTAAACAAGAATACTTCCGTAAGTGCTTGGTTGGTGGTCTACCTAAACTTACCTTTGACCTTTTTGTTTTGCCTTCCTTAAGCTTTTCAACGGCTTTTAATTTCTTGTCATCTTTCTCTCTTCTTCGTTCTGATTTACCTTTCCGTTTTTCTTCTAAGCCAGTCTGTTTTTTAGACATATGGCTTCTCTTCTGCTTCTTGTTCAAGAACTCTTTTTGTGGACTGTCCTTAGTGTTTCCCACAATATTGTTCAGCTTGTCGGAATCAGCAGCGAGATCTCTTTCGCTATCTTCATTATCATCACTGTCAACCAATGCTGTTAGTATTCTACGAGGCTTTACCTTCTCTACAGTTTTGTTCTCTTTGTCCTCGTCACTTTCAGGGTCAAGCTCATCTCTAGCAGCAATGGTGCTACTTTCTACCTCAGAATCACTGTCTTCAATTATCTTCTTGCTCTTTGTTTTCTTAAGTACCAAGATTTCATCATCTGAATCTAAAGATGTTAAGAACAATGATTCACTTTTGTGTTTAATTCTCATTCTGAATACAATATAGTATTAAATTATGTGTAAAAATGAACATTAAATAAAATCTGAAAGCAGAACTTGAGGCAAACAACCAGGAACACATTTGAACACACATACGGAATCATTTTAACTTGACAAAGGACAGCACTGTGACTTGTATAGCTCTGCTACAATGCACAGTCAGACAGGTGACATCCTTATTTTCCGTTCAGCTCTGCAACTGCTACCGTGTTTCCCCGAAAATAAGGCAGTGTCTTATTTATTTATTTTTCACGAAAAAAGACACTAGGTCTTATTTTCAGGGGATGTCTTACCTGGCTGCAGCTGTCCGCTCTGCCGTCCAGGGAGCCACGAACAGGTGGGCGGGCATGTGTGCAGGCAGGGGGCGTGTCTGGCAGGGGGGCGGGAGGGAGCTGCCTCTCCACTCTGATCCATTCCAAGGAAAAACAGATAGATAGGTGGGCGGGCGAGGGGGCAGGCATGCGTGGGGGCGGCGGGAGGGAGCTGCCTCTCTGCTCTGATGCCATCCAGAGAGCAACAGATAGGTGGGCGTGCGGGTAGGTGGGCGGGCGAGGGAGCTGCGGCCGGTCTTCACATGTAACATTTAATTACATGTGCAGCTACCCCGAAGATAAGACCTAGCGCTATCTTCAGGGATGCCTGTAATAAAAGACCTACCCCAAACTAGGTCTTATTTTCGGGGTAGGTCTTATATTACAGAAATCCCCGAAGATAGCGCTAGGTCTTATTTTCGGGGAAACACGGTATTATCATTCCACCTTAAGCTTGCTCTTTGGATGATGAACCAGCGCCATCACACTGCTGATTCAATTCACTGTCAAATCAGCAAACAGAAGCCTAAACATGAAAGTAGATCATCTTTTTGTCTAGCTCCAAAGTCATGAACTGTGTCAGCCTAGATAGTAGCAGGAAGTGAAAAGACAAGAAAATACTTAGTTGGCTAACTGGATATATTTTACGGTGCCAATCTTTGAGCTCTCGTTATCAGGCACAGGGTCCTAAAAATAACTTAGAAAGTATCATAGAATATCTAGATGAGAGACATAGAGACAAGGATGTCATTTATTAAGGAGTCTAGACTGTAAAGGAAACAAGCCCCATTTGTAGGGCTGCAACAACTAATCGACATAATCGATTATTGAAAAAGTTGTCAACTTTTTCAATAATCGATTAATCGGCTTCCGATCAGTTGGCCCTGTTCACAGCTCCGCACGCTGTGCGCCGCACCTCCTCATTGTTTAGGAAATTGTAATGTGTTCCTTCTAAAAAGAAAAATGTAATACAGATTAATAATGGGTCACAGTAAAATACCTTCATTCTGCACAAAATCCATTCTTTCCAGTTGGTGTTTTGGAGAATTCATTTCACAGCTGCCTTGACCACTATCTGAATCACTGTCCAAGGCCTTCAGTTCAGAGTGATTTTGCACATTCAGAAGTATCTTTAAAATAAAAATGTTAAAGCCTATTAATCTCTATTGGTACCAATTACAAATGTTTTCTGATTGTGTATTGGCAGCGACAAAATTATTTAACTATAATTTATAGGTATGTACTTGTATATGCTTAACTATAGGAAGTGCAAAAATGAAACACACACACACAGCTACATGTACATGGGGCTAATAACTGCATTTTCTCGCTGCAGGTATCACAGGCAAGTCCTTACAGCTGTGGTCACTCTGCCTATGCAATTGAATGACAGGCTGACAGTGCCAACATCTGTTCATGGCTATCTGCATGTAATGGTAGAGGGATAGATGATCACCCCTGGATGCAGACACTGAGCTATTAGCTCCATGTGCATGTGGTCCAGAGGATCTAGCCCATATGATATTCTAGGAGGTGGATAACACATTAAGGTCCCATGCACATGGGCCTCTTGCATTAAACACAGGAGAAGTTATCTGGGAAATATAAACTTCATTGCTTCCCAGATCACTATTTCCTGTATTAAGATGTTCCTGGGTTAAGGCAGGTTTAGCCATGTAAAACCAAGATAAATGGTCCGAGGACACAAGCATATTCTTGTTTGTTAAAAACACAGCTAGACTAAATGCACCTACATATTGCTAAACATCTAGGTGTGCATTCAGCTATAGCAAATCATTACATGCGTTTACATGGAGAAAGCAAGGAGAAATGAGCTCCAAAAGCAGCTTGAATTTTAATTCCTGTAAGCACGGAGCCTAATACTCAACATATTCCATGGTTCTGTGCTCAGCCCCCCCACCCCCCACTTGTTCCACTTGTAATGACTAGTTCCTCAAAGCACTTCTTCTGGCCCTCAGTTCCACTTGTGACTAGTAGTCCATTGAAGCCCCTATTGTTGCCAACTAACCACCACCCCTCTCACTAACATGATCATATACAGTGCAAGATCATTGGCTACGGTGACGAGGCTGCTGGTAAGAGCACCAGTCCACATTCCAGCACTGAAGAACAGATCACAATGCTGGCTGCCACCAGACCGCAGGCTAAGGCAAGAATTAGCTCTGCAGCAGGCGCATGTTAAGTAAAGGCAGCTTAACACATTAAGACGATGGACATGCACTGCAACATGTGTTGTGATGTGATGTGCTGCATTGCCAAAAAAGGGCCAGGCCTGATCTTAGGTGCACAGAGGTGCATCTGCCGCCCTATCAAAAAGAATGGACTGAGTTCACGTGTTCAGAAAAAACACTGCAAATGGTGTGAAGGAACCCTTAACATATTTTGCCCCAAAAAAATGTAATTTCATATATGTGTCCCCGATTCCATTTTGCTTAATAAAAATCTATTCTGTTTTTTTTTGGAATTGGTGTACCATATTGTAGTAGCCAGACAACAGCACTCTCTAACACACACAATGTGCATTAAAGCCTTGGTTCTCAACAGGTGGGTCGTGACCAAAAATGTGGGTTGCGGCCCTGTGTTCAGTGGGTCACCGCATGGCTTACACTTTTCTAGGCGAGTGGCTCCTCAGCCTCCTCAGCGCAGCACTTTCAGTTCTCACACCAAGCAGCCATTTAGAATATGCTGCCCGACGCCGAGTGTCAGCTCGAGATGGGACTATGGCCGCAAGGGAGCTCCGTTCATACATGCATTGCTTACAATTACCACGCAAAATCTCACCTACTGTGAATTCTGGTGTGGGAGTTGTGTTGCATTGCCGTTCATTTGAATGGCACCCCAAACGCACCTCCCACCCACAGTTAGATCGTCCGCACCGTAACGTACGGTACCGCAATGCCGTGAATTCCAGTGCAGTGCGACTTGGGTCATGACTTAATGAACAAGGTCAAATGTGGGTCCTGAGGTTACACAGGTTGAGAACCACTGCCTCAAAGGGTAAGTTCACTTTCCTGGGTAAAATGGAAGTACCCACTCAAATGTGACCCCCCCCCCCTTTCAGCGAATTAGATTGGGCACCCGCTTTAGTTCTTTTGTTTTTTTAATATCCACATCCCTGTACTTACTATGGTGTGGATATTTAATTAGCAGCTGCTTTAGTTCAACCTTGTTTACATATACTTGATAGCCAATGAACAAAATAAGCAGTAAATATTGTATAAGGGGCAGGGGTGGGCAAGCTCCAGCCTTCCAGATGTGGTGAAACTACCAATCCCATCATGCATAGGTTTCTGAGAGTCATGCCTGTGGCTGAGAACCTTGCAATGCCTCATGGGATTTGTAGTTCCACCAGAGCTGGATTGCCAGGGTTTGCACACCCCTGGATTAGGGTAGCTGGAGTTATTCAAAAGAGCCAAGAAACATATTTTCAGAAGGAGGTGATCAATGGCAGCACCTTTATTTGTCTTAGGAGTGGTCTAATGTAACCTTATTTCTAGGTCTTGTTAGGTATGTTGTAGGACAAAAACCAAGACAAATAACAGAGGCTCAACACACCTCCCCGCCCTTGACAGATTTGTATCATTGCTCCATAATGGAGAACACTGTAAACTGCATAAACAATATTTAATCATCTGCATAATCAAAACATTCAGCAACAACTATTACATCTAAAACGTTTTTTGCACATCACAAATCTAGTCATGAACCGGCTCTGCTTTGAAATACAAACTCGATCATTTTTTTTTTATATCACAGTATATATTGACCCGTGCTGCCCACCAGCCATTACACACACACGGCGACAGACTTAATATCCACGGAGTACAGAGCAGCAACAAAGACGGACCACACACTCTGCCCCATGCAGCCCAGGACGGACACAGCCATTCACAGACTTTCTCGAATACGAACAGCCGGTGTGACAGATTAAATATACACAATAACAAATACCATAAGAGAACCACGTACCTCAGGCTCGGATACGGCAGCCATAGTGTTCGCCCGGTGACAGCTCCCGCCAATACACACAGCAGCTGCCTCAGAATTGGCGCTCTGTGAGAGGGGCGGGGCCAACGGATAATCCGCCAATCACAGAAACTCCAGGGGGCGGGTATAGGTGCGTTTCAAAACTCGCTTCACAACACACGTATGTGCGGTTCAATGACACCTCCGGAAAGATGTGTGATGTATTTCCTGTGGTTGAAGATCCAGAACCAGTACCACACATATCAGTCTTTGCCCTGAGGATGATTCCAATGCATTCATTAGGAAATAAACTTTCCATTTAAACACATTCCACGTGCCTCAAGATATAAGGGAGGACATTCATCAATGATGTTACACAGCAAGACAATGCTAAATAATGATGTGAGGGTGCTTGGGGTGAACCCACTTCGCCTAAGCCTGGGCAAACTGCAACTGACAACCCCCACCCCCTCTTCTGGCACAACCAATTGCTGTATGTCCCATGCACCAGCCCAAAGCTACAAAGCTGTAAATAGATACATAACATGTCAAGCCTTATAATTGTGCTCGCCCATGAAGCTGCAAAACATTTCAATACCCAAAATTTCCCATAGGGGACACTTTGAAAGCTTTTACTACTCATCAGTTTAGTGCTAACAGTCATTGATGGCCCTAGAATTATTGCTCTCACTCCTACGTTTGTTGCGATATGTAACATGTGTAACACGTATGTATGTGCGTGCACTGGGGCACAGGGGACTTATTTTTCTTATATGTTACTTTTTTAGTTTTTTTAAAACATATTTTTATTTTTTACACTAACCTTATTGCTATCACATAGGAGGCTAACAAGTCCCCTATGATATAGCAGATAGTGTGGTCTTTCAGACCCCAAATGTCACCTAGGGTCCCCAAAGAATCTGATGAAACAGTGACACTGGAAGTGATGTAATACACATCACTTCCGGATCCAGTGATCGGAGGAGAGATCAGCGGCTGGTAGCTGCTGAATCTTTCTCCGATCGTTGTGGGGAGACCTGCCGTGCCAGTCCTGGGCCACGCACGGGGGACAGCGGAGCCCGGGGAAGCCGGAGGGGGTGGGGGCAGCACATGCTGATGTTCTGTACAAATTATCCAGCTTCTGTACAGATATGTCAAATATGTCAGATGGTAACCATTGGGGGCTGCTCCTCGCTGGGATCAGGGAATACAAACAACATTGATATGCCACCTCTAAGTGTAATATCAATTATTCAAATGTAAATAGAAAGTACTCAATGTACTTACGAAGGTACCATGTACAGCGCTTTGAACAGTCCTCTATAATTGCAGTGTCTCCACTGAAAACCGTTCTATGGTCATTCACTTTCTGGTATAGCCGCAACAGCAGCCGCCGGACACTACTGTCACAAAGAGCAGCCGCTGTAAGCTCAGGCTGACGCGTTTCCGGGGCCATGCCCCCTTCATCAGAGCCACAGCTAGCCCACTGTGTGAAGGGAGATTAAGGATCGAGAACAGCCAATCAAAATCCAGTACTCTTCGTGATGTGGTGGTAAACAGTAATTGGTCAAGTTCAGAGCCCATCAGGAGCAAAACAGCTCCCTGTGCATAGAGAACATACAACTCCGATGCGTTACATACCCTGTTTCCCTGAAAATAAGACCTACCCCGAAATTAAGACCTAGTACCATTTTTGGGAATTGCTAAAATATAAGACCTACCCCGAAAATAAGACCTAGTTGTGATCATTCCCAGGGCCGGTGGTGCCATAAGGGGGAACTTGAAGAGCCGCTAGAGAGAATCAGCGGTGCCAACGAAGCCGGCGCTAGAGGAAGCGAGGCTGCAGCGCAGGAAGCAGAGCCGCATAAGCCGATGTTTCCTCTGTAGCGCCGGCTCCTGTCACAGACGGAGTGCATTTGGTATCACTCCGCCTGTGACAGGAGCCAGCGCTACAGATAGTGAAAGCGTGCTACGCCATTTTGGATCATTTAATTTGGATTTGCATTAACTTTTGATTGTTAAACATTAAAAAAAGACCTACCCCGAAAATAAGACCTAGTGTGTTTTTTTTAGCCAAAAACAATATAAGCCAGTGTCTTATTTTCTGGGAAACACGGTAGTTGTGTAGCATGTATCTTTTATGACATATGGTTTGTAAGTTTTGGTTTAGCAATGACATTTGCCGCAGTATTTTTGGAGATTTTGGTGTCGCTTGTAATAGGGTTCATTACAATATCAGCAATTGGTTGTGTATCCTTAATATGTTACCATGTTTTCCTTATTGTTCTTGCTATTTGATTACTCAGTAAGCAATGTCTTCTTGTCTCTACTACAAGGGACCTCCACTCTCTTCCCTCTTCCTGAAGAAGTGCAGCTAAAGCGCGACGCGCATTCAAGTTCACTCGACCATAGGATACAACCTTCAATGATATACTACTTCCCCATGATTATGTGAGCTCCTGATTTATCCATATGAGTTAATAGATGTTATGAGTGGCATTGGGAGGTTATATATTAGAAAGAGGTATAGTTTAGACCATGTTTTAAGCTACTGTATGTTAGCGATACCCAATGATTTAATTATTTTGGTTCATGTTAATATTTATGCAAATTTTAATTGTACATATCAATAAACTTTGGTGATTTTAATAATGTGTTATAGTTTTGACTATACCCTTGGCACCCTGATAGCCCTTATAAAGACTTATTCATTTTTTGGGTTTAATTTTGGGGTGTGGTGCCTGTTTTCCCAGAGACACTATATGCATTGTTGCCTGATAATGATAAAGGCTGTCTACACAGATAGAGCGTGAATATCCGATTTCCATTAAAACCAGTGCCTTGATGGGTCTGAAGACCCCATAAAAGGGGGAGTAATGTAATTCTCCAGTGCCGGGTCTCCCCTCTGGCACGCAGCTGGCAGCACTTCCATAAGTGCCAACATCATTGCCAATCAGGATATACCGTAGCTTTCCTGATTGGTGCAGTTTAACCTTTTAGCTACCAGGCTCTGTGCTTCACTTATAGCAGAGTGAGGAATGCTAAGGATGTAAGGCTTGCTGAGCTGGTCAGCTGCAAAAGGTTAAAATTGAAGCGACGCGTGGCTTGGCAGATTTGCAAGCAATGTGTCGCTTCACTTCTGCCATGCCCCCTCCAGCTACTGTAACTCCCCTGTGTCCTTGTGCCTGTTCTGTTCCCCATGCCATCCTCAAGCATTATGACCCTTGTGTCTGTAGAGAACCCTGAGCATCCAGTGATCCCTGTGATTCCAGTGCACCCTGAGCATCCATTGACCCCTGTGTCTCCAGAGCACCCTGAGCATCCAGTTATCCCTGTGTCTCCAGAGCACCCTGGTCACCCTGTGACTCCACTGCACCTTGAGCATCCTGTATTATTCTGTGACCCCTATGACTCCAGTGCATTCTGAGTATCCAGTGTCGTCCAGTAATTCTTAGCCTGTGAGCTTCTGTGTCTCCGCACAGTCTAGGGTAAGCTCTAGCAATCCAGTAATCACCTGAACTGTCCTTCCTTCTGTCTATGAAGACCCCTATCTATCACTGGAAAAAATAATTGGTCTTAAACTTTCTATTCAACTTTTGAAAGAGTATGGAAGGATTTAAACCTTTAGGAAGCTACTGTTGCTGTCTGTGTTCCTGCTCAGAAGAGTCATCACTTTTTTTGTTCTTTTGACCATTGTCAAAATTAGCCCTGTATGGAAGTGCAAAACCAGCTTAAAGTGAACAAAAGCTCATCGATCCAGGCCCCAAAGTAACTCTGTTGCCTTCTTAAGGAAAAAAAAAGAACCTGCAAAAGTAAACTTTTTATACACACATTGGCCTATCCCTGATTCCTGGAACCTTTACTTTCTTGCAGAGCAAAGCCAACTGAAGTACTGTATCTTCAAATCTGACACCCTTCCGGGTAGGTTGGATTCCTGCATCCATTGCTGTGTGCTGTGTTCCATCCACCAGCCCCTTTGTCACTACTTTTTCCATTCCTGATAAGGACATGTAAGGTGCCATTGTTGACTTCTCATTCTATCTGGCTGACTATTGGGTTTCTTGTCTTTTTTTAAAATGAAAACATTTTGATAACAACACCAGCAGGAGTGTGAAGGAACAGGTAAGTGTTTTCCCACACGTACACACTTACCACGAGGTACATATCCAATCACAAATTTCAGTGAGGCGATCGTGGTCAGACTCACCACACACATCTGGCAGCTACTCATAGTTTCCAGAAAGCTTGCTATTGTATGGTTTGTGTATTCTGCTGTCTGTTCTTGAGGTGCTGGCAATATTTGAAAGTTGACCATTTCCTGTGGAATGACATTCTGCTGCACTGATACACAACCTGAGCATCTCTTGTGCTGAAGACATGAATTGGTTATGTTTAATGCTGCTGGTGCTTCTACGCAAAGGTAAAGTAAGATCAAATTCTGTTACTTGTTATCAGTTTGACTGTTGCAACACTTTAGTGTACAGCATCTAGGATTATAGAAGCTCCTTCATTTACAGGTGACATCATTCTTATTAACAAAGCCAGATTTCACATATAAATAATTGCACTGGGATTCTTATTACTTATAGACCTCTTCAGGAAACATATAGGCACAATCATTAGAAAAGTGAAAAAGTTTACAATATACATATATACATAATTCATGTACAATATACATAAAATTAAAATACCTCCACTAACATGTATGCACTATTTCATGTCTGGCAGTATTATGTTTCTAGCTCGGAGACCAAAGAGAAATATTTGAGGTTATAAAGAAAAGCATTGACTAGAATAACAATGATGAAAATGATTTCAGTTTACTTAAAGCAAAAATACTGGATGCCTCTCAAAAATGATAAATACCTGGCTGTCATGCTGATTTAGTGGCTTCCGTACTTTCTGCGTTACTGACCCATAACTACCATGCAGATTCAGAGAGTCGGAGTGAAGTCAGAACTCCTGATCTGCATTCTATTTTGTGGTCACTGACTAAGAAAGTAGTGAAAACATTCCAAGCAATTAGCAATTTAAGAAGGAGACATCAAGAATGTCAGC